TTTTCTTTCCAGCATTCATCATAGCATGAAGGACATATCCCAGTTTATAATACCATACCCTTGATTTATATAGCAAAGGATATCTAACAAATTAAATCTATTAAGAAATAACAACAGTCTGAAAAAATAGGGTAGATATATTTTGCTCACTAAATGCATTAAAAAAAAAAAATCCCTCTTCTCCCAAGCCCTGCCCAGCAGTGAGGAGGAACACCCCTGGGGTGCCATAGGAGGCTAAATAGGAAACTTAGACTTCCACTCCCACCTGAAAGTAGTAAGATGGCACCTAATAACCCCTGCCAATGTGGTATCAGAGGAGGCCTGCTACAAAGATTTAAATTAAATCCACAGTCTCGTAAAATAATACCCAAAATGTCTAGGATATAATACAAAATCACTCATATCAAGAACCAAGAAAATTTCAACATGAATGAGAAAAAACAATGAACAGATGCCAACAGCAACACCACCAAGATGACAATGCAGTTGGAATTATCTGACAGGGATTTTTGATCAGCCTAATAAAATGCTTCAGTGAGCAATTAAAAACACACAAACAGAAAAAATAGGAACTCTCAGCAAGACAGAGAATTTATAGAAAAACCAACAGTCTATAGTAGAACTGAAAAAATACAATAACTGAAATGGATGCATTCAATAGCAGAATGAAAAAAAAAAGGATCAGTCAACTTGAAGAAAACAGTATAAATTTCCTAATCTGAACAAGAGGAAAAAAAAAAGATAAAAATGAACAGAGCCCCAGGAATTTATGTGGCTATAACAAAGGATCTAGCATTCATGTTATCAAGTTCAGAAGGGGAAGAGAAAGAAGGCAAGCATAAAAAAGTATTCAAAGAAACAATGTCTAAAAATTTCCCAAGTTTGGGAGAAGACATAAACCTGTATATTCAAGAGGTTAAGTGAACACAAAAAAAGATAAATTCTAAGAAATCCAAGCCAAGACACATCATGATCAAACTTCTAAAAACTATAGACAAAGAAAAAATCTTTAAAGCAGCTGGAGAGAAAGAACACCTTATTTTTAGGGGCAAAACAGAATGACAAAAGATTTTTCATCAGAAATCAGAGAATCCAGAAGGAATTGATGTAATAGTAAAGGATTTTAACTGTTTACCTAGAATTCTTTATCTAGCAAAAAGGAGTGAAGGGGAAATCCAGACATTCTCAGAAAAAAGGAAAGTAAGAATTTGTTAGCATACCTACTCTGAAAGAATGGCTAAGGAAGTTATTAAAGAAGAAAGGAAATCATAAAAAAAGGGGATCTTAGAACATGAGAAAGGAAGAAAGAACAATGGAGAAAGTGAAAATATGAGCTCTGAGAAAGGACTGAAGAGAAAGGACTAGTGCAATATGGAGTGGTGCCAAACTACAGCCACATGAACAAGCCATGGATGGGACTGTGACTGTGGAGAGGAGCCTATATGGTGGGGCTGGGCATAATCAGAGCTTCAGTCTCTATTCTCCAGCACATACCAGTCACCAATATGGCAGACACACTTGGCTGCCTACCTAATAGGCAAAACTCCCCTAACTTTCTTATTAACAAAGCTATGATTTAGATCTTACTTGACCATGCATTTGGTGATTCAAGGGAGGCCAGTTACCTCCCAAGACCTACATATTAAATTTATAATTGGTCAATGCCAATTGTAATTCCATTCCCTTCATCAATACTTGATTCAGGCAGGGGTATGAGAAGCAATCCTAAACAGCAATTCATTAAAAAATAAATAAATAAACAGGGATTCATTAACAGATTATCTTCTGACGGACTGCTGAGAAAGGATAAAAACATAGGCAATGGCGTTAATACTGTCCCTTTTTCTGACTGTGAAAGTCACTGATATCTGAAAATGAGGTGCCAACCTGAGAACAAACTCACATACTACAGAGAACAAACAAAAAGATAGAAAAAAACTTGATTTCTTAATTACATCACTGAAGGGCTGAATTAACCAAGTCTAACACTAACCTATCTTTAAGAGTCATATTACAAAAAATATCTTTTTTATTTCCAAGCATTACATGAAAATGCTGGACAGTAGTCCATTATATGAATTTACCATAATTGTGCAACTATTTCTCTACTATTGTACCCTTAAGTTGCCTTTCTTTTCTTTTTTTTCCATTATAAAAGCTGATGCAATGAACATCGTTTGGCTTAAAGTTTTATCTAAATTTAGGGTATGCTTTCCATGGACTTCATTTCTAGAAGTGAAATTACTAGGTCAAATGGTATATGACCTAATCCTGGCCCGTGAGAGGAAATGAGATGTTTACTGGGTATATTTTTCCTTCTTATAAAGAACAAGAGACAATGTCTTTCACTGGACATTAGCATGTCTGTATATAATACCTTGAATGATACCAATCTGAGAACAAAGCCAATGAAGTAAAAGATGGGAGTCTGATACTGTTGTTGAACCACTGAGTTAACCAACTTCAAGGACCCTTCTTTTCGTCTTTTTCTATTATTTGAATTATAGTTTATTTTTAATTTTTTTATTTTAATATAATTGACATACAATGTTGCATTAGTTTCAGGTACACAACATAGTGATTCAACATCTTCATACATTATGCTATGCTCACAAGTGTACCTACCATCTGTCACCATACAATGTTATAATATCACTGAAAATATTCCCCTATGTCTTTTATTCCTGTGATTTATTCATTCCATAACTGGAAGCCTGTATCTCCCACTCTCCTTCATTCAGTTTGCCCATCCTTTCCACCCCCCTGTCCTCTGGCAAGCATCAATTTGTTCCCTGATTCTGCTTTTTTGTTGTTGTTGTTGTTTATTCATTGTTTTTTACATTCCACATATGAGTAAAATCACATGGTATTTGTCGTTCTCAAGACCTCATCCTTTCTTTGTGGCTGAGTAATGTTCCGCTGTGTATATTTGTGTGTGTGTGTGTGTGTGTGTGTGTGTACATATATACACACCACATCTTTTTTATCCATTCATCTACTGATGGACACTTAAGGTGCTTCTATATCTTGGCTACTGTAAATAATGCTGCAATAAACAGGGGTGCTTATTTCTTTTCAAATTAGGGTTGTCACATTCTTTGCGTAAATACCCAGAGTGGAATTATTAGATCATACGGTATTTTTATTTTTAATTTTTGGAGGAATCTCCACACTGGTTTCCACAGTGGCTGCACCAATTTACATTCCCACAAACAGTACACAGGGTTCTTTTTTCTTCACATCCTCATCAACATTTAAATTTCTTGTGTATTTGGTTTTAGCCGTTCTGACAGGTGAGGTGATATCTCATAGTAGTTTTGATTTGCATTTCCCTGATGACGAGTGATATTGAGCATCTTTACATATAACCCTTGACTATCTGTATGTCTTCTTTGGAAAAATGTCTATTCAGGTCCTCTACCCATTTTTTAATTGGATTGGGTTTTTTGGTGTTGAGTTGTAGAAGTTCTTTATATATTTTGGACATTAACCCATTATCGGATATACCATTTGCAAATATCTTCTCCCATTCATTAAGCATCCTTTTTGCTTTTGTTAATGGTTTCCTTTGCTGTGCAAAAGCTTTTTATTTTGATGTAGTCTAATAGTTTATTTTTGCCTTTGTTTCCCTTGCCTGGGGAGACATAAATGTTGCTATGACTGATATCAAAATTATTGAGCTTTAATCCACTTTTAGTTTATTTTTATGTCTGTGTTAGAAAGTGTTTCAGTTTCATTCTTTTGCATGTAGCTGTCCAATTTTCCCAGCACCACTTAACTGAAGAGACAAGCTTTTTTTTCCCATTGTATATTCTTGCCTCTTTTGTCATAGATTAATTGACTACATAAATATGGGTTTATTTCTGGGCTCTCTACTCTGTTTCATTGATATATGTGTCTTTTTGTGCCAGTACCATAATGTTTCAATTACTACAGCTTTGTAGTATATCTTAGAATTTGGGATTGTGATACCTCCACCTCTGTTCTTCTTTCTCAAGACTCTTTTGGCTATTTGGTTTTTTTGTGGTTCCATACCAATTTTACTATTATTTGTTCTAGTTCCGTGAAAAATGCTGCTGGTATTTTGACAGGGATTGCACTGAATGTATAGATAGCTTTGCGTAGTGGTGACATTTAAACAATATTAATTCTTCCAATCAATGAGCATGGAATATCTTTCTATTTGTGTTGGTTTCAATTTCTTTCATCAATATTTTATAGTTTTCAGAGTACAGGTCTTTCACCTTCCTGATTAAGTTTATTCCTAGGCATTTTATTCTTTTTGGTGCATTTGTAAATGGAACTGTTAATTTCTCTTTTCTGCTGCTTTGTTTTTAGTGTATAGAAATGCTACCATTTTTGCATATTAATTTTATATTCTTCAACTTGACTATTTATTACTTCTAATAGTTTTTTGGTGGAGTCTTTAGGGTTTTCTATGTATGGTATCATGTCATCTGCAAATAGTGTTAAGTTTTACTTCTTCCTTACCAATATGGATGCCTCTTATTTCTTTTTCTTGTCTGATTACTGTGGCTAGGACTTCTAGACTATGTTGAATAAAACTGGTGAGGTGAACATCCTTACCTTGTTTCTGATCTTAGAGAAAAATTCCCTCATTTTTGTCACCACTGAGTATGATGTTAGCTATGGTTCTTTTTATATAAGACAATAAATTATACATAGTCCAAAAATTTCAATAGAAAATTAGCTCACATCAGCCATTTGTATGCCCAAAGATAAAACTGAGAACTGCTTATGATATCACAGCGAACAATCCAAACAGACTCCTGTTTCAGTGATGAAAATTAATGTAAGTTTTAAATAAACACTCCTGAACAGTCACATTTTTTCAAAGGAATTAGAGTTGAATGTTATTTGAAAACATCTAAAAAAAATTATAGGATCATTAATTTAGACTGCAAATTAGAAAAAATCATGTAATTCAAAATGGTCTTCAAATAGCAAAAATAAATGAACACAAAGCATGTTGTACTTACAAATCAAACACCAAATAATGGAAGCCCTCTTCTGATATGCTGTCATGAAGTCGCACTAAAAAAAAGCGGTGGGAGAAAAGTTTATGTTATATATATGCCAATGATGAACATTAAACCAGACTTCTAATGGGCATCTGTCTCCTAACTAAAAGTGTTGGCAACGTTCTTTATTCTAGGCTCTGATAAGCAGTATCCTTTACAACAAGGCTGGGGTTCAGACAAACCCAAGGTTTAGATTTTGGTTGTGATAATTATTAACTGTGTAGGCTTAATCATTTTTTTTTTTTTTTTTAAAGAGAGCGAGAGAGGAAAGAGGGCAAGCAGGGAAGGGAGAGGTAGAGGGAGATGGGGAGAGAGAGAATCTTTACTAAGCAGGCTCCACATAGCCCAATGTGGGGTTCGATCCCACAACCCTGAGATCATGACCTGAAGTGAACTCAAGAGCCAGATGCCCAACTGACTGAGCCACCCAGGTGCCCCTGTGTGAGCTTAATCAAATTAAGCAACTTATTATAATAATAGTACCTATACTTTACAAAATGGTTGAGAAGGTTAAATGAGACAACAAAAGTAAAATAATCCACACGTTGCTGGGATAAATAAATACTAATGACTGTTATAATATATATACTTCTATTCAAAGTTAGCAGGTTCTAGGAATTCTCCCACTTAGTGTCTCTTCCTTGCCATTCTCTTTGCTATCTCCCTAGTCCAGTTCTTCACCAACTCATGCCTTGATCAATACAATAAGGAGCAAGAGGGATCATTTGAAGAGGCCAGCAAATGGTCTTGCTTCTGTTCTCCCTGCCCCGCCCCCCTTTTTTTGGTAGGAATGGAGAGAGTTTCTACATAGCACTTCCTGGCCAACCTGTCAACAGAGTTTTTATTATGCTACTTCTAAACTCAAGTCACCAAAATCCATTTACCAAGTTAGCCAAGATTATACAGGTAGAACTTCTAATAAAATAATCTACTAGTTCCTCAAATTAATACTACTTTAATTTTTCCAATGAGCTAGACTTTCACTGATAGGTAGCCAAAACAAATATTTTGCTCTTCTGAATGGACAACACTCATTATCTACTATAATTTGAGAGTAAACTACACATGTACAACTTACATACTGCTTTTTCTGTGATTAATTTTTGCATAAGTCCCCTGCCTCCCCCAGTGCATCCCCACAGATGGTAAACTCTTCCTATTTATCCAAATCACTTGTGGTGGCTTGGACTTCACTGGGAGCAACAGAGGGCAGAAAAAGCAACAAACCTGTAGGACACAACTGCTTTTGAAAAGTTACCACAAAAGGATGATGATTTCTACTACCACCAGTCCTTAGTATGTTCCCCATGCAATGATGACTCCCACATAGAAAATGTGGATTCCAAAGAACATTTAGATTGTCACACAAACTACAATGATCTATAGAGGGAGTCTGAAGTACCCATGAAATTCTCAAGGTCATAGACTTAATATAATGTCCATTCTTTACAATCTAGTTCCAACCCCTTCAGACACCATTCTTGGGCCACTATTAAAATCTTTTCTGAATCTCTCTTTAGAAACCTTTCCAAGGTAGAGAACTAAAGACTTTTGTGCATTATATGGATTTTCTTTCTCATCATTATTACCATCCAGTTATCGTATTTCACAGGTCTTTGAATCCTTCAGAGAGACCTGACAAATGGTAGATGGTCTTTCATAAAAATTGCTTTGAGCACTTACTATACTATGTGCTAGGCATTCTTCCAAGTTTTTTTCACCAAAGCTCAGTATACCTATATATGTCTAAAATAAAACTACTAATACCAAACAATTCTCGCATAACTTTCATTGTGTGAAGGGTATTCTTCAGTTCACCAATATCAAAGATGCCCACTACCTTAGTCTAAACTTATGCTGAAGAAAATCAAAAGTTAGACTCAATGATGTATTCTGTTCATAGTCATTCAGCACAGTAAGGAAAGCCAGGTCATGACAGATAATTCAGTGGCTTTCTTGAATGACACAGTCTCACAGATACCTACCTCACTGAGCAGCTCTAATGCAACCTGTGTTTAAATAACCTCAATGAATGGTAGGTCTACTTAAGTCAGACAGTTATTCGATGAAAATAAGATGGATTTGCATCCTATCAAAGTTAAAATGAGTAGTAAAATCACAATGTGAGCAGGAGGAAATGATTCTTTCTTCCACTGTCTCAAAATAAAAACTTCAAGTGGAGATGCGGATCTTAGGTTTTCAGATAAAAGGGTTGTGGAGTTAAACAAAAGTGGAAATTTCAGTTACAACTGGAGAAATATTACTTTCTGTTTCTATTTGGAATAAAATCTTCTTAGTATGATTATCACTTTCTTATTAATACTTGCATATCATTATCATTTGGAAGTAAATTATTTTTTGAAAAAGTTAAGTGTTGCTCAGATCAAGCCTAATGATCAAATATATATTGTTTTTGGTGAAAACTAGTTTCACAAAAGTATTTAGCCAGCAAGCACATAATAATTGCTTAAGGACAAACCATTTGGCCCAAGGTCATTACTTTTGCATCACACAATTCCAAAACAACCTCCACTAATTTTTTTTTTTAAAGATTTTATTTATTTGTTTGACAGAGAGAGAGAGAGACAGCGAGAGAAGGAACACAAGCAGTGGGGAGTGGGAGAGGGAGAAGGCTTCCCGCTGAGCAGGGAGCCCGATGCGGGGGCTCGATGCATGGCTTGATCCCAAGACCCTGGGATCACGACCCGAGCCAAAGGCACACTTAACAACTGAGCCACCCAGGCACCCCAACCTCCACTATTTCTAATCAGCATTTGACCAGGTGAAATTAATTATGAATGAGTGAGGTTATTGATACAGCAGAAAAAACTAGCATCATCTTTACTTGGGATAAATACATACACATTTACTTCCTTCCTTTATTCCTTCCTTTCTTATGACCTCCCTACCTCTTTCCACTCTTACAGAACCAGAAGAGAGAACTGATGAATTCATCACAATTTTTCATTTATTAACGAAACTATATAATTTCATCTTTGCATGGATGTTCCACTGTTTACAATTACTCTAAGGATGGGTTGGTTTCCTTTTGAAACTTTGAACTCTTTATCATCCTCAGAGTTGATGATAGATTTATACAGCCTGAAGACACTGTCTTACACACCACAGATATCTTTTTATTTTCAAGCCATTTCAGTCAGTCAAAAGTATCCGTCTTCCATTCTTTCCCTCTTTTTTAACAGTTTGCCATGGGTTGAAACTGTGTTTACTTTCACAAGAACTTATATTAGTTTTTCTCTATAAATAACTGTCAATTCATTTCCATGCTGAAGGAAACACAGGATATTCTGTTCACCACAGATGTTAGCCCAAGACTGCAGACATGGCCAGCCTTGAGAGGACTGTGGCTGCTCCATGTTGAAACATACTGCACTGTGTTCTTGTTATGACTGCCCTTTGTTATTGCCATAAGCTGTACATATGGGTGCACACAATTAACTTAATCACAGTCATCACTAAGATGCTTTCAGAAAGAAACGTTAAAGAAGATAATGAGAAAAGCATTTGAGAACATCCCGGTAGTCATTCTTTTCTGAAGTTTGCTCAAAGGTAAAATCAAGTTTATGAATGAATGAGTTTTCATAAATGGTAACCATGTAACAGTTCTTATCCAGAATAAAATTAAAAATTCTAGGGCATTAAGCATGAGACTTATAAGGGGAGAAAAGGTGTTCTTGAGGCTAAAATGTTTCCAAAATTCAGTTGATCCATGACCTAATCCTTTCCTTTCTCTCCCTCATGTTATCCATTTGGTCGTCTGCATTCAAATTATCGTGGGGTCACTGCTTTCTCCTCCGGTCCTACATTCCTGTATGATTTCACTGCAGTTTCTAGTTAAGTACTAGTTTAGCCAAACAGGACTAAACAGGACCTTGTAATTATCTGAGAAAACTGATTTTATTTAAATGTGAAAGAAGCATCCTATTTATTTTAAAACATCCTTTAAGGAGTTAAAAGATATAATAAAATAACTACGGTGCTTACTGTGTCAACACAATGCAAATAATTTTTGCAAGAGTTATTTTAGTTAATATATAAGACCTTTTCCCATCATTTTTTACAAATGAATATGCACAGGCCTGGAGAGGTGAAAGAAACTTCCAAGGCTTAACAGCTAGTAATTGACCAGGCTACGACCATAATCCAGAGCTGGAGGATTCCAAAGCTGGTTCTTGCTCAGAATACTGTATGGACTCTCTAAAGTACAGCTGTCAACAAACTACTCCCCTCCCCGCTCCCCAAGACATTGTAGAGTATGAATTGGTTTGTCAGGATAAAATAGTATTTAAAAAAGAATTAAAGAGGAAGAAATAGTTATGGTGACTAGAGAAAGAAAAGCAGTGCTAAGAAAAAAAAATTACACAAAAAGGAAAAGTATTTTCAGTTTAGGAAGTTTAAAATGTGATGCTGTAGTTTGGGGGATATAGAGACAGCTAGATGATATCTAAGATACAGAGCCAACACCAGCCACATTTGTCTTTCTATGTAGTCCCTAAATCCCTAGAAAATTGTTAATTCTCTTCAAATTAGGAATGTTAGAATATCCAGTGACTCAGCTATTTTACCTGATAGGATATTTAATGTACCAAAAATCCTAATTAAAGAACCTGGAAAACTCACACAATGTGTAAAACAGCATAAATTTAACTATTTCTGTTTCCAAAATTAACATTTCTATGACATGGATACTATGATAACATGGGAAGAGGCAGAGGTATGTGTGTGTGGGTGTCAGGAAGTAGAAATGGGTATGCAAAGAAGAAAAGGGAAAGACTAGAAGAATTAAACTCTAATTGCCGATTAGGTCCATCTTACCTATTTTGATGACATATATTAAGAACATTTCTGTCAAAAGAAAGTGAACATATTCTTTTATGGTGATTTAGTATCTTTCAAAAAAGACTAATAGCATACAAAGTCACTTGTTTCACGGCGCCTGGGTGGCTCAGTTGGTTAAGCGACTGCCTTCGGCTCAGGTCATGATCCTGGAGT